CTCATACAAGTACATTTTGAGTCTATCAGTAAGTTGTGACCCTCTAGCACTTGTGCCGGCGCAGCGCAATAGTGTCGTGTCGCCAGGATTGGTACCATCCGATTTCGAATCCCACCATTGGTACTGCTGAAAGAAAGGCCGAGACTGCAATGCCGCCTAGATAAGATAGCGTTTGGCAAGGTGGTCCGGAGTGAACTTTAAAGGCATCATGAGGCATATTTATGGAAAATTGGGATAAATTACAATATTGGTCTCTAAATCGACTTAAGAGTCCTAGGCTGGTAAACATTTTTATTCGAGAATTGCCGAAAAGTTCGCAATTTTTCATATTGAATATACTCTCCTACCGTTCTCAAAGCTTCGTACATTTTCACCAGAATCAAAGATGACTACCATGGTTTAAAGAAAAGCCAAAAGACCGTCAGGCTAACGGAATCCACTTTCTTTATTTGGTGGGTTTGATTTCCGTAAATCACTTTGCCCCATGCTCTCAACCGAAGCGAAGTAGAATTCACTTAGGTTCTCGTGAAATAAGTACAAATGGGTCGTTGGAAGCGCAATTAATGAGTGTGGATATAAAGTTGAGGAGGGTTAGATGCCACAACGGTTGAAGAGATTGTCTTCGCTTACCATTGATGAGTTTGAACTCTGATAGCGGAAATGACTGAGCTTACAGGAAGTATTAGGTTGATTAAGCATGCTAAACTAACATGATACGGTTAAGAGAGTTTTTGACATTATTTTGATCCCCAATTCTACATGAAAAATTTGGTTCATCCCTTAAGGAATACCAAACGTCCTATCATGAATTGTTGGCCTTTTACACCCCTCGGTCTTGGCCCAAATAGATTTATCTTATGGGACATACACTCTCGCAAAGAAAATCCCTTTCACTTGCTCATCCAGCTTCCACCGTATGCTCATCTCATACACAAATCCTACTGGTTTCGCCCCACCTTTATCATATTCTGTCCAGGTTTTCATGTCTCGTGCTCCCAATTTGTTTCCTGTCTGCTCCTATCCTCATCCCCATCTCTCACTCCTTACCTTCATATCCCTTTGACAGGTCGGCCATCTGCTCCCCACGCATATCGCCCGTTTGACATGACCTGCCCTTTAGTTGCGTCTGTGTGATGCAAGCGTAGATGTCATCACTTACGTCCAGACAAAGTGGGCTCAACCGATGCCGCATGGGCGAGGTCAAAGTGATAATTGAGTCTTGGTGTGAACAAGAGAGAGCCGAATTGGGCGCTAACGTTTTAGTTGACCCCACGTTTTGGCCTGGACCCCGAATGGGAGTTGAGCTCAATGACGGATATGCTACAGATATGCATTTTTCCTAACTCCCCTCGAAAATGGTTGCAAATTGATCAGCTGTCAGCACCCTTAAGCAGCGATCCGTCAAGGATACGACTCGTCTTCAAGATTCCTTATTTGTCATGCTCATATCCGTAACCAGAACTGGTGAGCAAAATGTCTGCGATACTTGCAAATCAGTTGTTCTT